GAAAGCTTGTAATGGATGATACATTGGTATTCTAGAATCTACATTTGAAATTTAACACTTTTTTAGTCCTGTGTGACTTCATATAAAACCCTAAAGTAATAGACTTATAAGTTAGGTCTCTAAAAGTTACAGCTAAATACATTTCCAAAAATTTAATAACAAACCAAAGAACCTCAAAACTAACATTGTAAATATTAAGATAGTTGAAGGGCCTTCCTGATTCTTCTTACGTGGACTCTTCTGTGAATAACTATCAGCGTTTTCTTCTTTGCAGTATTATAGCTGCCCGCACAGCATTCCCCATGTCAAGAAAAGTCCACTTTCTATCCCCAAGGGATGTGGAAGCATAATAGTCTTTCTTTAAATTAGAATATTTTATCACGATGCAATCTCACAACAGTCTCCAGATGAGGAATGGAGAATATATGAAATTTCATGCTCTATGAAACTGAACCACAGGCTCAGAGTTAGAAACTGCCTTCTGTAACCTGGCACATACGCGTGTTTTCTGCAGGTCCCACTTGTTCATACAACTTCCGCAGAACTGTCTAAGGAAGATAAGTGGTTTTAAGTTGGGTTGCTCTCTCAAATGGACAGTCATCTTTCAGGTATAATTTGCTTGTCAAAGAAACATCTGTAGATTGCTATAGAATTTATCTTATAAACGTGAAGAAGAGAGATTTTTGGACTTCTTGAATATTGCCCTTCTGGTGTCTACAGCGGTATGGTTTATAAACTTACATACTCTAGACCAGCGTCAGCAAACTTGCTCTGTAAGAGGCCAGATAGAAAATATTTTAGGCTTTGCATGCTATATGTGGTCTCTGTCGAATGTTCTTTGTGGGTTGCTTGTTTTTGGTTTTTTTATCGCTTTAAAAATGTAAAAACCATTCTTAGCTAGGGTCCCTACCGAAACAGGCCATAAGCCAGGTTTGTCCACTTGGGCTGTGGTTTGCTGACCCCTGCTCTAAATCAGTACTGTCCAATAGAAATACAATTTGAACCATTGTTTTTCAACAAAAAACAGGATAAGCTATAAAGCAAAAAGCAGATGAAATTAATTTTAATAATATATTTAGCTAATTATATACAAACTATTAGTCATTTCAGTCTGTGGCACAGGCCACATTTCAGGGGCTCAGCGACCACATGTATTCGAGAGCATGCTCCAGATGAGAGCTAGTCAGAATAAGGGCCATGAACTTGTAGTTTGTTACCGGTCTCTGACAAATTAGGTATAGGAATTAAAAGTAAGCATTTAAAATATTTTATAGCTATTTGATAGTTCTTTTATGTCTATTCTGCCTAATAAGAAAATTGGCACTTGTATTTCATAGGTCTTTTTTTACATTTCATTTTTCCTAATAATTTATTCTTATCTTACAAAAGAATCGGTCTGCAAAATTAAAAAAAGAACCTGCCTCTTCATTCTGGATGGTTGAAGAGGCACTGCTGTAAACAGTCTTTCCTAAGACTCTGCAGGCCTCTTGTCTACATGGCAAAAATAAAACCAAGAGAAACAGTGAGGAGATTGTGGTAGGTAGTTTTATTTAGAACCTCTCACACCCTGCCAACTGCCCCAGAGCAGTGTCCTTTTTACTTATCTCTTTCAGAGCTACCATTGGAGCCCGTGGCTGGAGTATCCTCCTCAGTGGTTTTTCTTCTCTACTGAAGAATCACCCAGAGAGAGCTTATTAAAAAAAACAAAAACAAAAAAAACAGCAGTGTCCAGGCCCATCTCCAGACCAATGAAATCACAATCTCTTGGGAGGGAGGGGGCCTGTGTATCATGTAGTTTCAAAAGCTCTCCAGGTGATTATATTATGTAGCCAGTGTTTATTGTGTGGATCCCTCACCCTAGGGGGGGGGGCAGAAAATTGCTATTTTTCCATTTGGAAAGAATCACTCATCTGGGCAGGGGGTTTTCTGTGTGGTGTACTATTCACTCTCTTTAACACTGAAAAGGGGACTTTCCAGTTAAGTATGTCAGATTGAACATTGGCATTTTAACTACTCATTCCCGGAACCCCACTCAAATTAAAGGAATATAAAAAGTATAAGGCATAAACCCACAAGAAGTAAGCCTGATTGGTTAACAAGTTTTTGGTAGAAGCAGTAGCTAGAAATTAACAGAATGGAGAAAATTATCTAAATGCCTGCAAATGAGGATGTTAAAAAGAAGCAAAGCAGTTTATACTGCCGGCTCAGAAATTAGAGCAACCAGTTAGTTCAGAAGGTAAGGGTGAAATATAAAGCTGAACACTGGAATGGTTGAAAGTCTGTATGCTCATGAAACTGTTGCTCTTTTACCTTGGATAAAACTATAGGTTAGAGTTTGGAGAAATTTTCTAAGACGGTCAGTCAGAGCTTGAGGTGGGGTATCTTTTGAAAATAAGGACACCTTTTAAAAAATAGAGACTAAGCAAAAGCCTGAAATGTTGTGGTTAAAACCCTACCATTCCCCTTGCCCTGTTCTCAGAACATGGCAGTCAGCTGTCTGCCCCAGAGAGGAAATTGGAACATTTCTCTCTGGGATAAACAGCCAGGAGAGGGGTGCCTGATTGGCTCAGTCGTTAAGCATCTGCCTTCGGCTCCGGTCATAATCCCAGGATCCTGGGATCGAGTCCCACATCAGGCTCCTTGCTCAGCGGGGAGCCTGCTTCTCCCTCTGCCTCTCTCTCTGTCTCTCTCCGTCTCTCATGAATAAATAACAAAATCTTTTTTTTAAAAGACGTATTTATTTGAGAGAGAGAGAGAAGGAGAAAGATAGAGGGCGAGTGAGAGGGAGAAGCAGACTCCCCACTGAGCAGAGAGCCTGACGTGGGGCTTGATCCCAGGATCCTGGGATCATGACCCGAGCCACTTAACCAACGGAGCCACCCAGGCACCCCCCCCCTTTTTTTTTTTAAGATTTATTTATTTGAGAGAGAGAGAAAGAGATGAATAAATAAAATCTTAAAACAACAACAACCACCACCAGGCACGAGACTTAACAGATCTTGACTTTCCTGCACCACCATGCACACAGAGCTTCTGATCAGCATGGTAGTGGCCACATCAACTGTAATGGACAGCTGGGGCTCATCAGACCCTTGTGGAAAGCCTATAAAATTAAAAAAAAAAAACAAACCCTAAAGATTTAAGGAGAAAAGAGGAAGAAACAGATAAAAATATTTAAAATGTTAAAAAAAAAAAAAACAGAAGAAAACATTTGAAAAATTTGTATCCTCTGAGAAATGTGATATTCATCCAAGAAACTAGAATAGGATGTTATTAAAAAGAACATTCAGAGAATAAGAAAACAGTCTTAGAAATTAAAGCTGTGATAGGAAACATTCTAACTGCAGTAGAAGTGTTGTGAAGTGATACCAAAAAAATCTTCCAGACAGTAGAAAAGGAAAAGAAATGCGATATTGAAAAGAAAATCTATACAATCATGGGACACCTGGGTGGCTCAGTTGGTTAAGCATCTGCCTTCAGCTCAGGTCATGATCCCAGGGTCCTGGGATCGAGTCCCGAGTCGGCCTCTGCACTTTGTGGGGAGTCTGTTTCTCCCTCTGCCTGGTGCTCCCCCTGCTTGTGCTCTCTCTCTCTCTGACGAATAAATAAGTAAAATCTTTTTAAAAAGAAAAGAAAAAAAGAAAGAAAAAGAAAAAATCTATACAATCAGAAGATGAATAGAGGTCTACTGTTAACAAAAGGACTTTCAGGAGGGAGGGCCAGGGGCAGTGAGAAGGACATGGAAAGGACACAGTGAATGTAAAAAAGGCTCAGGCTAAGGATAAAGAGAAGCAGCTACAACTTCCTACAAAATAAAAATAGGTCACATGACAGGAGACTGGGAATTGCTGGGATAATGGACTTACTTTCCTTGATTCCCTGGGATTAGAATCAAAGATGGAAAGGAGTGGCCAGCAGTGCTACTGTTTGTTACGAGCCTTGTACTTTGAGACGACAGGCTTACGTCGTTTTATCTCACGTTCCTTCATTGCGCCTCGCAGATACTGTGTATTTTAGTTTGAAGGTCTAAGGCAGCCCTCTGTTGAGCATGTCTGTTGGTGCTGTTTTTCCCACAGCGTTTGCCCACTTCATGTCTCTGTGCCCCATTTTGGTAATTCTTGCAATATTTCAAGCTTTTTCATTATTATTATTATTATTATATTTGTTATGGTGATCTGTGATCGGTGATTACAACTTAACTGAAAACTGGTTAGCATTTTTTAGCAATAAAGCATTTTTTAATAAGGTATGTACATTGTTGCACACTGAGTAGACTGCAGTGTGGTGTAAACATAACTTTTCTGTGCACTGGGAAACCAGAAAATGCATTTGACTTGCTTTATTTCAATACTCACCCATTTAAATCTAAATATTTTCTTTCTTTCCTCCTATTTGCCTTTCTACTCAAACTGCTTCTTTAAAATCACAGAAAAAAATTCAGTACATTGAAGAGTAGGGAGGAAAGATACTGCGTTTTCCCAAGTGATTGATCTGTAAGCTTTAGATTTCCAGATGAGTGGAATATAGCAGTTAGTAAGTGAAATCGGGAAGATCACTACTCAAAGATTTTTGAACTAATTTTAATGTTTCACACAAATGTCCTGATTTCAACTTTGGAGCAGTAGAATACAGATACGTTTCAGCAATACAGAACGTATTTTCCCTTGGTAACACTTGAGGCGGTGCCTGAATTATTTGTCGTAAGGAGACAGAAATCAGTGTCATAATGAAAGTAGGTTGATGCGTGGGGAAAAGAACCCAGAGTTTAATTGAGAGGGTTTGTTTCCCTTCCCATGAGATCTGAGTATTCCATCTGAAAGGAAATGGGGAGTGAGGACTGGCCTGACTAATGATGCCCTGAGTGCTGCGAGAGGCCAGAGGGCCGGGGACCTTAAGACTGTGACCAGCGTCACCGAAATTTCCAATGCGGGGGGTACTGCCTGTTTTGTTTACACACACCACCTTAACTTCAGTTTCTCCTCTTCCTATTTTGTCTTTAGATCTTATGATCAATGGATAAAGTGGGGAAGATGTGGAATAACTTCAAATACAGGTGTCAGAATCTCTTCGGTCACGAGGGAGGGAGCCGTAGTGAAAATGTGGACATGAACTCCAGCAGATGTTTGTCTGTGAAAGAGAGAAACATCAGTATAGGAGACTTGGCTCCTCAGCAACAAAGCAGTCCCTTAAGAGAAAATGTTGCCTTACAACTGGGATTAAGCCCTTCCAAGAATCCTTCAAGGAGAAACCAAAACTGCGCCGCTGAAATTCCTCCGATTGTTGAAATAAGCATTGACAAGGATAATGATTCATGTGTCACCCCAGGAGCGAGACTTGCAAGAAGAGATTCCTACTCTCGGCACGCACCGTGGGGTGGGAAGAAAAAACATTCCTGTTCTACCAAGACACAGAGTTCATTGGATACTGATAAAAAGTTTGGTAGAACTCGAAGCGGACTTCAGAGGAGAGAGAGGCGGTGTGGTGTAAGCTCCGCGCACGACACGGACAGTGTGTCCAGCAGGGCGGTGGGAAGCCGCTCTCTGAGGCAGAGGTTGCGGGACACTGTGGGCTTGTGTTTTCCCACGAGAACTTACAGCAAGCAGTCAAAACCCCTCTTTTCTAATAAAAGGAAAATACACCTTTCTGAATTAATGCTTGAGAAATGCCCTTTTCCTGCTGGCTCAGATTTAGCCCAAAAATGGCATTTGATTAAACAGCATACGGCCCCGGTGAGCCCACACTCAACGTTTTTCGATACGTGTGATCCATCCTTGGTTTCTACGGAAGATGAGGAAGACAGGCTTCGCGAGAGAAGGCGGCTCAGCATTGAAGAGGGGGTTGACCCTCCTCCCAATGCACAAATACATACATTTGAAGCCACCGCACAGGTTAATCCGTTATACAAACTGGGACCAAAGTTAGCTCCTGGAATGACTGAAGTGAGTGGGGACAGTGCTGCAGTTCCGCAAGCTAATTGTGACTCAGAAGAGGACACTACCACCTTGTGTCTGCAGTCACGTAGGCAGAAGCAACGTCAGGTGTCTGGAGACAGCCACGCCCACGTTAGCAGACAGGGAGCTTGGAAGGTCCATACGCAGATTGATTACATACACTGCCTTGTGCCCGACTTGCTTCAGATTACGGGGAATCCCTGTTACTGGGGAGTGATGGACCGTTACGAAGCAGAAGCCCTCCTCGAAGGGAAACCCGAAGGCACATTCTTGCTCAGGGACTCTGCACAAGAGGACTACCTCTTCTCCGTGAGCTTCCGTCGCTACAACAGATCCCTGCATGCCCGAATTGAACAGTGGAATCACAACTTTAGTTTTGACGCCCACGACCCATGTGTATTTCACTCCTCCACTGTAACAGGACTTTTGGAACATTATAAAGATCCCAGTTCTTGCATGTTTTTTGAACCATTGCTTACTATATCACTAAACAGGACTTTCCCTTTTAGCCTGCAGTATATCTGCCGTGCAGTAATCTGTAGATGCACTACATATGACGGAATTGATGGGCTCCCTTTACCATCAATGTTGCAGGATTTTTTGAAAGAGTATCATTATAAGCAAAAAGTTAGAGTTCGCTGGTTAGAACGAGAACCAGTCAAGGCAAAGTAAACTCTCCCGCCCCCAACGGGCATTAACTAGATCTGCTTTTATGTGCATCAGACAGTACACCTATAGCAAGCACACGTATCAGTGTTAGGTGTTTTTCAGTGCAGTATGTAGGCTTAGTGTCAGTATCTGTCAGATGCGATCTGCTGTTACTTCCTCAGATAAACATGGTGCCTATTGAGACAACAGAGGACAGAGCTACAGGTGTTCGGTAAGGCTACAAAGGCTACAAAGGCATTTTGTCAATTGAGCGAACGGTTTGGTTTGTAATGACTATTGTAACTGAGTGAAGCAACTCGGGGGCATTTGCTATGAAGAATTCTATTTCTTACTGAAGAACAAATTATTAATATTAGATGAGTATTTCAACAGTGTGACTAATGTTTGAAATTGTTATTTTTTCTAAGAATTTTTCTATAACCTTCCAAAAGTAGCGCTGTTTGTAGTTACTAAAAATCAAGCTTTGGAAGTCCAAAAAATAAAGACTGCCTTCCTTGGAGAAAAAAGAAAAATGCAATTTTCTGGCCACAAGGGCAGAGTGCAGTTCACTTAAGTGTTGATATAGTTTATAGTCAGTCTCTTGTCTCTTCTGCAGAAGGTACTGTTAAGCCAACCAGGTTTTCTAAATAGTTGCTCTTAAAAGTTCAGGCTTACAAAGTTGGTGGTAGAATTTTATTTCAAGGCCTTAGGTATTAATTTTTTTGAATGAGTGCTTTAACTTAAAACACATTGGGAAGAGCTGCAATGTAGTCCTGTGTGTGACTTCTTAAGTTAGTACGTGCGGTCTACTCGTTGATTAGTTAAAGTTGGATCTTTTCCTGTGCCCATGATGCGTTTGTGAACCATGAAGAAAGTGAGACTAGAAGATGCCCAGACAAGTCCAGTGATAACAGCAGTGGTATGCTGATGTTGAGATGATTGTTAAACTGCAGTGAACAATTTGGATGGCACTGTTTAGCTCTTTGTTGTAAACGCTCATAGCTGAATCGCTTAAATACAATTTATAGAATTTCAGTGCAGTTAATTTCTAATGGAAAATCTGAAACCCTAATTGCAGATTTAAAAGGTACTGTACAACCGTTGTATCTGTAAATAACTTTACTTAGCACCTTTTTGTCACTTAGAATAGTATGCAATACTACTTGAGTGAGCTATTTTGGAAGTAATACCAAGTCCTAGTGTTTGCTTCTTAGTATTGAGCTGAATTTACAGTTCTGTCCTAGACATTTTGCACTAGTCAAATCCATTCTTGTGTCTTTTTGTTAATGTGCTCTGTACCACTGGTGAGTGCTCCTTGGTCTCCTTACCTGCTGCTACAGAAAGTTCTTTTACATCCTGATGGCTGTTGCCAAGGCTACAAAAAAGAAAAGCTATATTTGTATGCAACACTAACCCTTTGACTGCTAATGTACGTTTCTGCTTGCTGTGCCTTGTTATGGCTGCTTTTTTGTGCTAATAAAGTATGTTTGGTGTTCTCCTTGTATATCTGCTGTTTTATACATTTGCAACAATTTCTCTTGTAAATGGAACGGTATGGGGTTTTTCAGTGAGCATTACCTGACAACCTACTATAGTTAATGCAGAATTACTGTACAGTCTAATATTGACTTACTCTCGGTAAGCTAACTCTAAATTTAATGCTACTCATCTTTCCAATTGTAATCACATATACCGTGGAACAGTATCTCTAGTTACTGCAAATTACTGTACAGTTTGGATTATAACACGAAACGAACAGAGAAATATTGACTAACCTATTGATTTCTCTGCTTGTAAATGGAAAATTGAAACTATCAATGACATGTTATAATAAATGAATATCTTTAGCCTTCCACTTCATCAGAAACAAGTTAAATGAAGTCTTGTGAACTGATAATACATCAGCACCATTTATTGGTTTGGGGACCATTTTTATTAATCATAAATGCCCAAAATGTAGAACTTTAACCAAAGACTTGTCCATTTTTAAAGCAAAATGGGGATTGAGGGGACTTATAATTCCTGTTATTTCTAATAGAAGTCCCTGAAGAACATATACCAAAGTGTTCGAGAACGTCATCCAAACCTACTTTAAAGCATTATGTGCAATTAAGTTGTTATGACGTAATTATATTGCGTAATTGTTGGGTCCGTTTTCTTGATAATGTATCTGGAAAATAATCTCTTGGGAAAAAAAAGTTCTTACTGATTATTGGAGAAAGATTATATATGCAAGCAAGATCTTGTTTTAAAGAGGAAACTTGAAACTCCAAGAAAGCACTTGATGTTTTATATGCTTGTAGCAAATTGATGTTCTAATTGTAGTTTTATAGAAAATATTAATGCTTTTATGTATTTCAGAACTTTCATATGTTAAATGGAAATTGTTTTAAATGTGTAAATATTTGAGTTTTATGTAAGCATGTATACACTGTGCTAAAAGTCACATGTTTCAGTTTGTGTGTAATATTAATATGCAACCTTTGGTTTAAAATTTTTTTCTTAAAAAATTAGTGGCTTATGTTTTAAAAAAGAAAAAATCACCAGCATGAAATTGCACCTTAGTCTATATTCACTGTGTCTTTTTCTGAATCCCATTGTAGCCTGTCAACTAAATATTTGTTTTCATGGTCTTTTTGAAGTGCATTTTAATACAAACCAGGAAATTCTTTAGAAGTTTGGACACATCTTCATAGTAAAGTAATTAACCCAAGGAAAGGTTGGTCTGATTCCTATCCATTCTCATTCTTTCTTGCATTCATTCATTCATTCATTCATTCTCTCTCTTTCTCTATCTGTGTATATCTACATACACACATGCACACACATATATATACACATATATTTATACATTTATGATGTTCATATTACTTTAAACAATATTGCCATCTGATTTAAAATCATTTAGAGGCCTTATTCTATATATATATACTATCCTTGTACCATTCAAATTTGGTTATCCACACCTAAAGTTTAGTTTTGCCAATACAGTCTTATTTGTAATACAGTCACCTTACAACAAGAAGGCATGCATCAGTATTTTCTGGCTAAAACACAGTAAAAAATTTTTGAGGAAGAAACAGCTTGGTTTAAATATAGTTATTAAGAGACATTGTTAAATGTATATTTCTTCTCAACAAAAATTGAGCCCAAATAATCATACTCCACAAACTGCTCTCTGTTCTTATGGTCCATTGGAAGGTTTATGTAAGATTTATAATGGCTTGAGCCATAAAAATTGAAAAACTTGAATTCTGTGCTTCACTTTGACAAAATTCAGAGTTTATAAGCCTTTTTACTTGACGTTTTGATCTGGTTGCTATTCATTTTTATCTCAAGTTTCCATTGCTAGCTGGCACTAAACACTAGTTTGGTCAGGTTTGCTGAGATTGGTCTTAGTGGACTAATCCTTTATTTTTGTAGCAAAGAAAGCTATAAAGCTGCTTTTTGGTAGAGGCACAAAGGCTGAGAGTGAGTCAGCACTCTAGGGCCATCTCTGGGAGTGTGTTAACACAGGGAAACTCACACCAGTTCCTCCACTTACTCTGTAGCCCAGCACAGGCACACAAAGGGCTGACTTCAAGGTGAAAAGCCTCCAAAGGGGACAGTAATGTTTAGTGTGTGTATACATAAACACCACGTAGCTATGAGGCTCAGGCTCAGGCTTTTTTTCATAATTTTGCAACAGTTGATACAGAACACAGACTTTTAAAATGTGGTATGTTCTAAGAAGATTTGGGGTTGGAGTTTTTGTGGGAGGTACTTGGTTGTTGGGGTTTTTTTGAGGAGGGTGGAGTGGAGGAGTTGCCATTGTAAAAAGTATCGATCATTCAGAACAGCTGTTTTCATGCCCAGGAAGCTTGAATGAATATTTAGATTCAACCACTCATTCACAAAGATTTATTGAAGACCCATGTGCCGGTCACCATCTTAGGTTATACATTGGGGTACAAGACAAAGTTATAGGGCATTGGGGAACAATGACCTTAAAGGATGAGAAGAAGATCACCAAGATCAAAGAAAAGAGCATTTTGACGAACAAGAAAACTAAAAGTCTCAAAGTAGGAATGAGCTTATAAGACGAGAGAGAACACAGTAAGACTGGAGTCCCGTGAGTGGTGGGGAATGGCAGGTGATAAGGTAGAGTGGCAAGGACTGTGAGCCCATAGAAAGGAATTTAGATTTTATTCTGAATGTGACGGTAAGCCCTTGGACAGTTTTAAGCAAGGGAGTGACATGGTCTGCTTTCTATTTGCCTAGTAGATAGAAAACAGGCTATAGTGGGATAAAATAAGGGAGACTATTGCAGTCATCTAGGTGAGAGATGGTGAGAGCCTGGACTGGGGTGGTAGTTGTAGGGAGAAGTCAGATTCAGGAGACCTTTATTGGTGGTGAAGCTGATAATTTGGTGATGGATTAGATGGGACGAAAGAAACAATGACCGATTTTTGAGCAAAGGTGGTGATGCCATTAGTTGAGATTTCAGAAAACCAGTAGAGGAGCGAATTGGAGGGTGTAAATTGAATTCTGCCTTGGATATGTTGAGTTTTGAGATTCCTGTTAATTACCCCAACAGAGACATTGAGCAGGCGGTTGGATATATGAATGTAGAATTGGTGTGGGCGGGGCGGGGGCGGAGGGAGTCACTATATGGATAGTATTTCAAACCAGAGACAGGATGGCAACAGCTAGGAATTTTACATGGGATTAAGTATTTCTTTTGGGGGAGAGAGTTATGGCAACATTTATCTTAGTTTGTCAATTCATGATTCTGTATCATTAGATATTTTTGAAAATCTAAAGGATTTGGTAGAGGTAGAGGATTTTGCCTTTCAAAAAGTTTTTAAATACTGAAATCATAAATCTTGCACTCAATTTTAAAATTTTATCCATGCCAAATTTGATTGTCATGCTTCCCATGTCAAATTAGCTTGTGTATCTTTCTTAGTGTAGATTTTTATGTGAGAAGTGCAAGTTCGTTATGGAATGTTGAGGAAGTACTGAAGATTATAAAGAAATCAGTGCCCCCCAAAATTTAAGAAACAGTCCATATTATCATTTTCTTTATCATTTCCCATCACCAACCCCAACCCTGCCGCTCCTAACTTCCATTTTTGTAATCTTCCAAGAGGTGACTGCTGTTAACATTTATTATGTTCCCTTCCATTATTTTTTCATGAGTTTTTACAGCGGAAGGTCGAAAGTTTATAAGATATAGATACAGATAGATGCTAACATAAAGAAAAAGGAAGAGAGTTGTAGGCCTCAAATTACTTTGAGAGGGTATACAGATGTGCTCCAGATTCTACTCCTTACCTGATTCAGCAGGGACCTAGGCTTCTTACGTGCCTTCAACTCTTGAGGCAGATCATTCAGTGGTTAGAGTAACCGACAGCGCAAAGGCCCAGTCACTGGTGGTTTCTTAAAATAAAATTTCAGTAGGAGATCCCTTGCCTCATGGAACTTCTAAACTAGGAGGGTACACAAACAGACACAGAAATGTGTAATGATGAGAATATATTGGAAATAGACCAAGCAAAAAATTAGACAAAACCTGCTTACATACTTGATAAGGAAAAACAGAGAAATGACCCAAGTGGAGGCAGGGTGATTTGGTGTCAGGTCTGTTTGATCACAAGAATGTCTGGTAATTGGACTTAACCCCAGGGCGGGGGGATGGAGAGGCCAGGTGTGGAAATTGTAGTGGTCACTAGCAACTGATGAGGGGCAGTACTGAGGTAGAAGGATCTGTTGTTTGTGACATTTGAATGTCTGAATCTATCTAGGTTCTTAAGCAAGACAGTATTAGAAATTATGCCAGCAGCTGTAAAATGGATTATAACCGGGAGAGATTGGAGGCAGGAAGCCCTGTGAAATTTGCCTCGATCAGATTGCTAGCACTGGAATTAAACTGAGGAGTGCATCTGAGAGCAGTTGCAAGAGGAAAAAAAAAAAAGCATATTTTGGGGTAAAGAAAGGCAAGCAATTTGCTTGCCTAGGAGATTTTGAGTTAAATTTGTCATAGTTTCTCCAAATTCAAGCGAATCATATGGAAGCCAAGCTAGTATCTCCCATTTAATATAATCTGCATCCTATCTGTTTTTAAATTAAGCAAAATATGGAGAGTATATTTTTGAAAGGCACATTTTTAATGCAAAAGATGAATAAATATTTGATCAAATAAGGAAAACTTCATCACTCCTAGATGCACTTTCATAGAGAAAATGGGGAAATTAAAATCTAAAGGAACATCAAAAAAATTATCTGACAAAAATGCTAAAAGGATGGCAAGGTGAGATTGAAGAGGGAGTTAGTGAATTTAACCCCCCACACGCTATCGTGACTGATGTAGGTTTTTTCGTTAATTTTAGTAAGTGAAAGCTGCACTGGATGTTTATTTCGTAGGAATGTATAATATTACCACCCGACATTTCTTTCTCTAGGTGTTTACTAAGCATCCCTTTCTAACTGTAAACCCAAGATTTTAGGGAATTTTTTTAACTTCAGGTAAATTTATCATTACTCTAAATGGTTTAATCTTTTCTCATCTGTTTTAAAATACATACAATTAGGCACTTAATCCTACCTTTCATTGCTCCTATTTTTAGGATGAATTATTTGAAATTTATAGGGCTTTTCTTAAACCCCTTAAGATACTTTTCAAATTGAACAGTAATAATTATTTAAAACTTTGTTATCTAATTCTGTAAATATTTTGTAGGTGCCCTTGGGTGCAATTGAGACAGTATTGAATTTTTTTTTAATTTTTTTATTGTTATGTTAATCCCCATACATTACATCATTAGTTTTAGATGAAGTGTTCCATGATTCATTGTTTGTGCATAACACCCAGTGCTCCATGCAGAACATGCCCTCTTTAATACCCATCACCAGGCTAACCCATCCTCCCACCCCCCTCCCCTCTAGAACCTCAGTTTGTTTTTCAGAGTCCATCGTCTCTCATGGTTCGTCTCCCCTTCCGATTTCCCCCCCTTCATTCTTCCCCTCCTGCTATCTTCTTCTTTTTTTCTTTTCTTAACATACATTGCATTATTTGTTTCAGAGGTACAGATCTGTATATTCAACAGTCTTGCACAATTCACAGCGCTCACCATAGCACATACCCTCCCCAATGTCTATCACCCAGCCACCCCATCCCTCCCACCACCCCCCCAACTCCAGCAACCCTCAGTTTGTTTCCTGAGATTAAGAATTCCTCATATCAGTGAGGTCATATGAGACAGTATTGAATTCTAACGACATTGCAGGAATAGAGAAATATTTTGGTATAGTAATTCCAACATTGTGGATGATATAAATTTGCAAATCCTATCTTTCAAATATTGTCTTAACTTAATAGCAGTCTCTTCCTGGATGATGATAAGATTAGAAGGCCAGTTGATTTCTAAAATTTGGCTATGCTAAATTCTCATCCTTCCAACAGTCAGAGAGTCTGAGAGGCAGTATCGTTAATTGGTGACATGAGCAAAACAAATATAAGGGTCCACGTTTGATCTATAAACACTTATGTCAGAGGCTGGGTGATGTGCTGAATACTGGAGGGCAAGCTGCCAGAATAGCTTCCAGGCCCAGCAAACCATATATAACCTGGTGCAGCAGATCGATTATTCTGTAGGACATAGATTTACCTGAGCTGCCTGTGTCTAATCCTCTACGTGTCTTTGATACCTGACCTAGAGGGGTTAAGTAGCTTGTCCAAGGTCACAGAGAGAGTGAATGTCAGAGCTAGATTGAAACACAGGTCTGAGGCCAGAACTGAAGCCCTTAGCTGCTATACTTTTTGGATACTAATCTGGTCAGTCAAATTGATGTTTCTTCCAACACTCATTTTTTTATTGACATCTCAAGAGGACAGTAGATTTCCAACAACTGATAAAAATAGATTCTAAACCATTGGTGAAAGTGTTGAAAGAAGAGGCCACGAGAGTCTCCTTATTCCTATCTCCAGTTCGTTACCCCTGCCTGTTTCTCCAACTTTTTCTAGCACTACTTTGCCCTTACTCACTGCTTTCCTGTCACACTGGCCTTTCGATGGCTCAAACACTCCAGTCTCTTTCCTACCTCAGGGCCTTTGCGCATGTTGCTCCCTCCTGAAATTCTCATCTCCCCATTCTTCCACATAGCAAGATAGATTCTTTTTATTCTTTACACCTAACCTTAAATGTCACCTCCTCAGAGAGACCTGATCATGCCATTTAAAGACTTCCCTCATATTGTTCTCTATCTCTGCCCTGCCTTTGTTTCCTTCATAGTCTTTATTACAAAAACTTGAATATATTTTGAGTTTTGGGGTTTTGACTCTCCCTCTTGAGAAATTCTGAGAAGAGAGACCATGTCTGTTTTGTTTGCTGTTCCATCCTCAGTGCCTAGCAGAGTGCTTAACACAGAGTAGAAAATATTTGTTAAATGAGTGAATGAATTAACAGTCCACTTGTATTTATTTCTCCACTTTACTGACCGAAATATCACGAAAACCTTATTACATGTCCTTCTAAAGTCTAGACTGCTCAACCAGTTTATATAATCTTTTAAGTTATTTTGTAATATGAGAGAAGGTAAGGTTAATCTGACATGAATTGTTCTTGGTGAGCCCGTGCAGGTTCCTGGAGATTACCACTTTCCTTTCTAAGTTCTCATGGGCCCTACATTTAGTAATCCATCCCAGAATGTTGCCCAGGATTATGTCAAGTTCATTGGTCTGCAGTTTGTGGAACCACCTGTTTCCCCTTTTTTAAAGACGGGAATCTCCTTTCTCTGGTCTTCCAGCGCACCTTCCGTTTTCCTCAGCACCTCTGATGCCTCAGCCTTCAGAGACCTTATTTGGAGACTCTTAGTTCTCTGGGAAAAAAATTAACCTAGGCCAGGCTATTTGAACATATTTATAGCAGCTGTGTTTTTTCTAGAATCTCTTCACCCATTTGGACCATGAATGCCTTCTTGCCAGCATTTATTCTGCCTTTTTCAGAAAAGGCAAAGTGTAATAGGAATCGGATAACTGAGCTTTCCCATCATCCATTAATATTATACCACTGACTGTTCCTTCATTTATCATCTCCTTATCTCATGTGTAACTAAAACTGTGTGTATGTGTTTAAATCAAAATACTTTCCTAGTAGTAGGTTGGGTGTCTTTCCCAATGCACTTGGATCGTCTTTTTAAGTATGCCATAGTTGTGTAGCAAAAACAGGTGACTCTAAGATAGTTCCTCTTGAAAAGCTTGCCCTTTAAGATGCAGTGCAGGGGCACCTGGGTGGCTCAGTCGTTAAGCGTCTGCCTTCGGCTCAGGTCATGATCCCAGGGTCCTGGGATCGAGTCCCGCATCGGGCTCCCCGCTCAGCAGGGAATCTGCTTCTCCCTCTCCCTATCCCCCTGCTTGTGTTCCCTCTCTCGCTGTGTCTCTCTCTGTCAAATAAATAAAATCTAAAAAAAAAAAAAAAAACGCAGTGCACCACTGTAGTCATGCTAAAAGTACAACTAAATATTTAAAGGAAGGCGGAGGAAGATCTTTCATTAAAGGAGAAAATTGGAAATACACCAAATCTGAAACTTTAAAAAGTTGTTTCTGAGTATAATACAAATAGTATAGATACAAAAAATGTAGATTGTGTTTTGTGCCTGAATATTCAGAATACAGGGCCCTGTGAGTGATAAAATCAAATAGACACATCTCTAGTCCCCCCCTTCATTTGTTTCCCTAATTTTGTTTTCATACTTAGTGTCCAAATCATCTTCCTCCTGCATATGCTGAGATTTTTTTAAGCATGCATGTTTTTTTTTCTTTCAGTTTTTTGGGTAGCTTCTAGTGAGTTCCAATACAAAAAAGGTGTATACATAAAATAAGTACAAAAAAGAAGTGCTTTTATACTAACACCTTAAAGCTATTTAGAACTCCAGTGAAGCCACAAAAGAATGCTGCTTTGGAAATGGAGAAACATTCCAAGTATGGTGTGGTGTTTTCAAGTGGATTGTGGTTATAGTCTCAGTTCACTGAACCAAACCTCTAGTGGACTGATGCAGGATCACTAGTCCTTCAGTCCTTATGAACTGAGTGAAGAGATTCAAGGGGACTCAGAAGTTCATGTTTGAATGGAAGAAATGCAGAGACTGTGTTCTCTCATGGTTTGGGCACAAAGCTGTCCATCCAGGTAGCTTTAAAAAAGAGACAAGAAAATAATCCGATGGCCTTGCTGTGATGAATGGGGAAACCCATGAGTAAGACCCAGGACAGATGAACGCTGGAAATACGAAGGCAACAATCATGGAGTCGGAGGTAACTATGTGAAAATACAGACCCTGGTTACATGGTGCTAAAAGTCATTAAAAAAAAAAAAAAAGGTAGAGGGCGCCTGGGTGGCTCAGTTGGTTAAGCATCTGCCTTCGGCTCAGGTCATGATCCTGGGGTCCTGGAATCGAGCCCCGCATCGGGCTCCCTGCTCAGCCGGGAGTCTGCTTCTCCCTCTGCCCCTCCTCCTGCTTGTGCATGCTCTCGCTCGCTCTCTCTCAAATAAAGAAGAAGGAAAACAGTGCCCTTGAAACCTTGTATGAGATTTGATGAGATTTTAGGGAGTTGGCAGTTGGTGGGATTGGAAAGACCAGCGTTCAGGTTCAGGAGTGTGTCATCTTGGTCAAGTCAGTTTCTCTTGGCCTTTGCTGCTTCTTGTCATGAACAAAACACTGTGGCCTTCTTGAAAGAAGTTCTTTAGATAGCATTTTTCTTCTAAAGAATTCACATTTATTTCAGAGCTGTGTAGCTGTTGTCAGATTTTTTGGGTTGTGCTTCAGCTCAACTACCTACTACTAAATAGGTAAGCTTCTTGACTTCTCAGGCTTGGCTTCTTCATCTACCTTATCCACCTACCTTCTCGTGGTGTAGAAATACTATGTTGAATGGTCCTTGAGAAGTCACAGCATAGTGCCTGCCATGGAGTAAGTGCTCAATAAATGTTGTGATTGTTCTCTTTATCCTTACATCCATCATTATTATTCCATTAGTAGAAATACAGAGCTGAAACCTAGAGCACCTTACCAAATTGGTCTTTTTTCTGCTGAAGGCTGGATAAAATGTAAATTCAGCCCGTAGTTCTCCTATATACTGTTGGTTTAATGTGGGGTTTTATTGAAGGACACAGTCAAAATGTTGAAACGTGATCTCTAAATCTTCACAGGGAAGAAAATCTATAAAACTTCTTGCATGGAAAATTACTGGGAAGCAGATAGAATAAAGCCAACAATAATTCTGTTCAGATTTTATTTCAGTGCTCATAAGATGTTCCAGTCTTCCACAAAGCAAAAGAATTATCCTTGGATTTAATAGAAGTATAGTTATTATAAATTTAGTTCATGTTTTTACATCCTGGTAGAAATGTGGCAGTACACATAGAAAAGTTTCATTAATTCTTTTTCTCCAAATGCACCATTCCATGTTATAATCTTGGCTGTGACTATAGGACCCGGGGACACACACACACACACACACACGGCATGGGGAATGACTCCAGTGTGCCCTAAGACGTATTGCAGCCATCTTGTACCACCAACACAAATGATCACAACTGTGTCATCCTGTGGGAAATCCACATTGTTATCCCTTGCTGCCTGGGACTTTGAAAATGAATGTGGCTCCTTTCATGATTGAGATTTCTGGAAAAATTCCCTAGTGTCTCCTTTTGTCTAATTAGTTTGGCACCTCCACATTTTACACATGGAATCATTGCTAGCTGTTACTATGGCCTTCTTGAGGGCAAACACCTTACCATTATGTTTCCCAGCTGTATGCCTAGTGCCCAGCTCACTACTTGGCTCATGGTAGACACTCAGTAAATATTTGTTGAAAGAATGAATTAATTTTCAAAAATAATTTAAGTATCTATTGTGCATATATTTTAAAAGTATAAAACATGGTCTTTTGCCCTAAAATTTTGTTCTCTTCAATTTGAAAGAATTGAAAAACAAGATGGCATTGTGTAACTTCTAGTTTTACCTTGCCTTATGTCAAAAACATTAATAAAAAGTCATTGTGCTTTATTCTAACCTTAAGACTTAATTAGCTGACTGCCTTATAGTAAAAAGTCTCTGATTTTGTTAACTTTGAAATTGAGACTCAAACTTTTTAGGCCTTATTGCATCATTCTGCTGATTATATGCCCCCTTTAAACGATAAAGAGACTAGGGCACTTGGGTGGCTCAGTTCGTTAAGCATCTGACTCTTGGTTTTGGCTCAAGTCGTGATTTCAGGGTCTTGAGATGGAGCCCCGTGTTGGACTCTGCATTTAGCACGGAATCTGCTTGAGACTCTCTCCCCTTGCCCCTCCCCCCACCGCCCCCCTCTCAAATGAACAAGTAAATCTTAAACAAAAAACCATAAAAAGACTGCATTCACATCTTCTGATTCTAGAAATGCTAGAGGTTTAGAAGACGCTAGTTTTGTTTTGAAGTTGAAGTGCCCGCCATTTGTTGAGAAGTGGGGCTCATATGACCTGTAGTGTAGCCATGAAAAGAGGGAAGTGCTTCTACCTCATTACCAAAGTTTTTCCTAAAAAAAGAGACCAGAGACAGTGGGACATAAGTGAAGGACTGCATAGCTGTCACTCCTGCATGTTCCTGGGTGTGGCCATCCAGAGTAGTACTTTCATTCTCTTAAGGCAAGATGTTTAGAATCTTGTCCTTGGGACCCACACTGGAGCAGTTTCTAATGGAATGTTCTGGAAACTATATTACACTTTTGAGGAATGTCTCTGAACACCATAATTCAGATCAAGCCAAGGAAAGTGGTATTTTGACTTCCAGTGTCCATCTTGTGCTTGCATCCTGGCCTGGGAAGCAGTGTGTATGCTCTTCAGAGCAGGGGGACATACTTCTCCCAAGCCTGTCAGCACGGGAAGGAAGGTCAAGGTGAATGGAGGTATTCCAAAACAAGCTACTTGGACTGGAATTCTAAGAATTGAAGCTCAATTCCACCTTAAATCATTGGATTCTTCTTTGAGTACAAGAAAGCTAATACCACATTTTTTTATACAATCAAACCAGAAAAATTCTGAAGAGAGAATAGTCCCCATCTCTTGGGTGATTCCAGTTCTTTCAGGTAAAAAACTTTATATAGTGTTTAGTCCTGATAATTTTATTCTGTGATTGAAGGAAAAAGGATAACATTGAGTGACCCAAGATACACTTAACTTGAATTTTTTGGTTAAATATATTAAGTGACTAAAAACAAAAACCTTGGAAAAAGAATATCTCTCTACTTAGGAGGTCTCTTTGTCCAAAAAATGACTTCTTCAAGAAAAGACATATCCCAGCCCTTATAAAAGCTCTGCTCTAGGCACCGTCAGACATTCAGGTATAGCAATTCTGTGGCTTTTATCTATGCTATGTTCTCTTTTCTCTTTCTGGAATTAATTAGAAGAACCACCTCCCTCCTCTAACTGATGCATGCCTCAGGTCACTTGAGCCCATTTCCCTAAAATCCTAGGTTCCTGTCAGTTTAGGGCAATAGCTCCTAAACGTTTTGGTCTCAAGACTCTATCATACTCTATAAAAGTATTGATGACCCCCCCAAATCTTTTATTTGTTGATTTATCAATACTTACTATTTTAGAAATTAAGACAAATTAAAATGTATTTTTTTTTAAGATTTTATTTATTTATTTGACAGGGAGACAGCGAGAGCAGGAACACAAGCAGGAGGAGTGGGAGAGGGAGAAGCAGGCTTCCCGCCGAGCAGGGAGCCTGATGCGGGGCTAGATCCCAGGACCCGAGGATCGTGACCCAAACCAAAGACAGACACTTAAAGACTGAGCCACCCAGGCGCCCATATATTTGTTATTTTGAAAATAATAAACCCATCATACATCAACATAAGTAACATTTTTTTTGAAATATAAATGTTTTGTAAAAATTTAGTGAAATGAGCTGCATTGTTGTAATTTTTTTAAAGCCTCTTCAATATCTGGCTTAATAGAAGACAGCCAGCTACTCTTATCTGCCTCTGCATTCAATCTGTTGCAATATGTTGCTTTGGTTAAAACATATGAAGAAAATCTGGCCCCATGTAGATATGTAGTTGGAAAAGGAGAGGAGGAATTTAATAGCCTTTTCAAATAATTATGGATATTCTTCAGTTCTATTTTCTTCATTTTCTTACTTTGGACATAGATGCCGCAGGGCTGGATTGAAAGAGTGAGTCTTCTTGTCTCTTTGTTCTCAAGCCACTGATCCACCCGTACAGATAATAAAAATAACCTCTGATTTTTTTTATTTTCGAATAAGGAAATCTAAAGAAACATTTTAGATACCATTTTTTAAATTTGAAAATTTTCTGAAAAAAAATTAAAATTACTGCAAAAAATAACAATAAAGTATACTCATTTCTTGCTGAGTTTCCAAAGAGATGCAAGGAAAACTTTGGGATTTCAAAACAATGCATTGGACAATAATGAGGTT